CTGATTAAGTCTAAACTTTCAGCCAAATGTTTCAGGTTCTGTGCCGACAATATGAATTCGCCTCTCTTTTTTTTTCACTAAAGGTGTTAAAATAATTTCTACACGTGAAACCCAGGTTTCAACGTTATGTTTTATCTTCGGTATACCTAGAAGAAAAAAAACTAGACATTTTTCTTTAACACGTGTGCAAGATTGGATCATTGTTTCTTTAATTGGAAGGAACTTATGTTTGATATGAAAATAATGAAGGTAGGTTATGACTTTTGTAAACTAATATAAGTGTCGTTAATATTTTACAAGAAAAGACCTCTTTACAAATCATTCAAGTACAATTAACTGAGGTAAAACAAAACCGGAGATTGATGGATTTAGGCCTAAGTTCATGTCACTCGAAGATAAATAATTGTTATTTTGTTTCAGGCAGAATTTGTTTGTAATTCTGAGGTCAAGATTTGGGGAATAATATATTTAAAATACCCGAAACTGTAATTGAGGTTAAGATTTTGGGAATAATATATTTAAGATACCCGAGACTATAATTGAGGTCAAGATTTTGGGAATAATATATTTAAAATACCCAAGACTGTAATTGAGGTCAAGATTTTGGGAAGAATATACCTAAAATACCCGAGACTATAATTTAGGTCAAGATTTTGAGAATAATATATTTAAAATACCCGAGAAAACTTGTGCCAAAGTCACCCATTTTTTAACAACGTTAGAAATAATGTGTTTTAATAGTAATATGTTGGTTAGAAGGCCGAATTTTACATTAAATGTGTAATGATATTCATAAGATAAATCCAATATACTCATAAGGTATTGGGCGATGAATTCGACGATCCATGGTTCGCATGCCATTGCTGTAAGATTGTCTACACTTCGAGGGCGTTTTAATAGCGATGGTCAAATCGCACAATTCAAATAGAGCAACCTAAGCGTGGGTGTTGTATAGACTATCTGTCTTCGTTATATAAAAGTGACTGAAATATATAAGTTCAGTTCGAAATTAGGGACAGTTAGCACTGATAGCCTTTTTTGTAGCTCTGCACGAAAACAAACAAAAAAAAACTATTTACATTAGAAACTATCAGGAGAGAAAAATAATTCAATAAGTTATTAGGCGACCATTGAGTTTTGAAAAAAATATATATATATTAATTATATTTATATAAATAAAAGTTCTAACAGTTAGATCGTACAGATTTAAAATGTAAGCCTGTTTTTACGTCATTTGTAAAAGTATTACAGGACTTTTTGTCATAGTTTCTGTTCTGGGTTATGAATGCGTCATTCATAAAATTTATTATTAAAATATTAAGATATATTTTCTTTTCATAAATTTATATCATTCTATTACACAACCGTGTCATGGCCAGGTGTTAGGGTACTCGACTCGCAATCTGCGGGTCGCGGGTTCGAATCCCTGTCACACCAAAAATGCTCGCCCTTTCAGCTGTGGGGGTGTTATAATGTGACGGTCAATCCCACTATTCGTTGGTAAAAGAATAGCCCAAGAGTTGGCGGTGGGTGGTGATGACT